AAGAATTTGACTCAAAAGATGGTGCACACTTTTAGAAAAAATGGCTTAAAGATAAAAATACCCATAAAACTGTGAGTTAGTGTGTGTGTGTGAGCGTGTGTGTGTGAAAGAGTGAGTGTGTGTGTGTGTGTGTGTCTGTCTGTGTGTGTGTGAGCGTGTGTGTGAGAGAGAGTGTGTTTGTGTGTGAGTGTGTCTGTGTGAGAGTGTGTTTGGGTGTGTGTGTGAGAGAGAGAGAGTGTGTTTGGGTGTGTGTGTGTGTGAGAGAGTGTGTGTGGGTGAGGATGTTTGTGTGTGTGTGTATCAGTTCTGTAGTCGCACCGTCTTCTGTTTCTGTTGGAGCTCCAGTCGATCGTTTTGTTTGTTAGATCTGCTTTGTTTCTGTGGTACGTGGTTTTTGTTTGAATCCAAATCAACTGCTTTTGGAGATCCGTCTTGTTTTGTTAATGTTCTGTGAGGAGTGCCGAGGCCGACGATGTTCACGCTATGCAAAATTTGAACACGAGTGCTTGAATAAACCTGATTTAAAAACAGACAACTGAATGAACTAAGAATGCAAATGAAGCAGCTGGAGGCTACAGATCACCACCTACAGGCGAGTTTCATGAAGGGCAATCTACTGAAGCTGCTCTTCAACTTGGCCTTTTCCAAATAAAATGAGTTTGGAATTATTTTCAAATGATAGAATTTACTTTCATACCAAAGATTATTGGTTAGTTTGTACTTAATCGAGACGAATCATATGTATTTTTCAGATATTTGTAGCCTTTTTTTCCCCTGCCGTCTGAGAGGAAGACTTCAAATGGACCAGGTCTCAGCTTTCAGGACTGTGTTTAAACGCTCTGATGGAGAAGCCTGAGAATCTCGATCAGAAATACTTTCGTTTACGTGTCTTCTGTTCTTGAGTTTGGGACGATGAGCTTGATTTCATGCTGAGTTTAGAGAAGGGATCTAGTTTTCCTGCGTGCTTGCTTTCTTTAAGGAAGAAACAGCAGTTCTTTTGTATACTATTCTATTTATTTATTTGTGGGTTTGATATTTATTGTGACTTTCCTGGTTTGAGGCGCTTGAGTTATTCTGCATCTTCTGATGCTTGCTTCTCGGAGCGACTCCTTGAGCCTGGTCTCGGATGGGTTTTGCCTTTTTAATTGTCTCAGGTGCTGTAGACTGAGACTCAGACCTCCTCTGTTTGCACATGAATTTCTGAATAAAAGTACAATCGCTCTGAGGACCAGAAACGAGCATGAAACGAGGAGTCGTCTTGCCTTTTTTGAAGCAAATGCATATCTGAGATATAAAAAAAAAAATTGCATTATATGAAAAATGAGTCATTCGTGAGATTTATAACTATAGCTTTAGCCGGCTTCGTTCGCTGCGGGAGCTTTGGGCTCTTTGACCTTCTCTAGAATATCACAGCTCTCTATCATCTAAGAGACGCGCGCCGATCGATCGATTATGGGATGCATTCTGGGGTTTTGGTCTGACTGCAGGGAAACTACCCAAAGAGGTTTATTTGCACTAAAACGGGATCTTTGTGTTGTGAAATATTGTCTTTGCTCATTAGTCTCTGATTGTAAATCCTCAATATCTTCAAAAAGTCTTTGCATCTTGATTATTAAGTACTTTGCAGGAGTTCTGAATTTATTATTTTTTATGTAAAAGTTCAAGCTGCCTTAGTTTGTTTTGTTTTTTTGCAACTACTCTCAGGAAATCTTGAGCCATGCACTAAGTGGTTATGCAAATGTTGGGTGAATATTAATTTATTGTATATCATTTCTGCTTGGAAATATGAACGCCCTGTTATTAAGTAAAGTTTCTTTACATCTGTCTCTTAAAATGAGTTGTTTATTGATTGAATCGGAGTTGTTTTATATCAGAAGCAAAGCGATGATTGTGTTTGGGGTGAAAGCCTTTAATCAGGGATCTGTGTTCTGCTCATAGAGTGAAATCTTTCTCAGAGATGGCAAATCATTTCTCATATTGTACAAATAAAGAGCAAATAAACAAAGATTTCTGTACGAACAGATTGTGCTGCCTCCTGCTGGTTCTTTCATTGATATTTTTATATTTTGTGGTAAATGTGTGTCTGCTGCATGTGCTGCTGTTGTGATAAAGATATGACTGTTAATATTCATCAAGTGATGTCATTGTGTTTTAATTAATATTCATGACAGGGTTTTACTGGCGTTTTCAGTTTCATGTAAAACCCACTTTCTGCTGAATTGAAAATGTGAAAGTCGTTTATACAGCATCTCCATGTAAAATGATTATTGTCAGAACAATCAACAAAAGAGCCAAATATTCCATAATAACCTACAATACATGCTGCTTAATGAGAAACTACAGCAAAGCGCACATTAATGAGCCGTTAAAACCAGCCTGTTTCACAACAAACTTTGATTTTAGTTCCACCTGCTGGAGAAACGAGTTAAACTATCTATCTATCATCTTATTTATTTATTTGCTCAGAACGTGATGGAAAATAGATACAAAATCAGTATCAGTTACAACGAAAATTAAATATGGTCTTTAATTATTCCGAAACAGAAGTCATTTAAAATAGCCTATTATCTGTATATTTTAATTTTCATTTAATCATTTTACAGTAAATGTACAAAGATAGCCTATTCAAGGCACTGTATTTCCTCATCATATTTCCTCAAATATATTGAATATAATTAAGGTGTATAAAATGATTGTATTCAGAAGTGTCACGTTTGTGATTTTTTTATTTTTTATTTGTTGATTCGTTATTTAAATTAACAGGCCTACATTCGGAAACCGATGCAGTTAGTCTCAGATATTATTAAAAATAATCTTTGTGAGGAGGACTGGCCTTAAATGCTTTAGACACCACACACTAAACGACTTTAAACACCGACTGAGCCCAAATTACGTTAATAATCGGCCTGACAGAAGTGTGAACATTCCCGCCTTACCGAAAGACCCGGATGACAGTCTTACCGTTACTTGCGGACTGATGGACGGGTTCTTTCCCGCGTCAGAGTGACTTTTTAAAAGTCAGTTTTTTTTACAGAATTATGCATTTTCTAACATTTTCTATGACACAACTGGCTAGCTGACTGGAAACACACGAATTGAGACACGCAGCTGTCAATCAAACTCATCAAGAATTATGCAAAAACATATTTTATTTATTTTAGTATTTGAGATGTTATCATAGTTTTGTAATTGTGTTAAAACCGCAATTGTTTAACAAATATATTTGTATAATAAACGGGATGGGCCTATTCATCAGAGTGGGCGGGCCTGTGCCCGTCAGCCGTCCGCTGGCTCCGCCCCTGCGTAAGTGACGGGAGTTTTATGCGCGGCGGTAGCGGAGGTGACGCATGGCGCTGTGTTTCCGTTGGCTGATCTGTCTGCTCGAGCGTCGGAAGCGGATCGGCTCGGTTCGGTTCATCGCAAACAGAAGCGTAAACGCCACACATCAGATGTCGTTCGGTGTCCCGCACAGCGGCGGGTAAGTGTGTGCTGCTCTGCGGCGGGTAACGGGTCTGACGCGCCGGTAATGGCTGATGTTATACAACAACAACAACAAGAAGCCGAACAGAACCGGAAACACCGATATAATCCGATATCAGATCATCACACCTCATATAAACCGCGGCTGCGCCGCTTTACCTCATCACCACAGACCATTACCGTTGCCATGGTAACACCATGATGTTTTGGACTTGAGTTGGGAGCACAGACCATAAACATCATTTCGACCAGTGTGTGTGCACACTTCTAACACACACAGACACACACATATCCCGTAGTGCCGTTTGATTTAGAAGTTATTTTAACTCTTTTCTGTCTAAGTGGTTGATGAATCACGCGAGTCTGAATGTTGCTCTTCATCAGTGGAGTTGTGGAAGTTCACAGGTCAAACCGTGTGAGATCCGTTTGTTTGGTTCTGGAATGATGATGATTCACAGCTCAATGAAATGTGTTGATTTGGGTTTGATTTTCTCACATCAGACAGCAGAACATTGATGATGATGATGATGATGAAGGTTAATGTGTGCTTGTGTTTGTCAGCCGGCGCAGTAAATGGGACCAGGACACACAAACGCTCACACACGCTCACTCAGACTCACACACACTCATACTCACACTCACTCACACACACACTCACTCACACACTCTCACTCACACACACACACACACTCACTCACACACACACTCACTCACACACACACTCACTCACACACACACTCTCACTCACACACACTCATACTCACACTCACTCACTCACTCTCTCACACACTCACACACACACTCTCACACTCATACTCACTCACACACACTCACACACACACTCTCTCACACACACACACATACACACACACTCACACTCTCTCACACACACACACACACATACACACACACACACACATATGTGATTTCTCTCAGTCTTTTGTTGTTTGATTAATATTAAGCACACAGCAGGAATATTAGGCTGCTGTCACTTTAAGAGCTGCACGGATTCAATTTACTGTTACACACGTATTCTCAACTGTTACGTTCACTTGTTACATAACCGATGAGGGTTTACGTGATTTAATAATCACCAAGCGCCGCATTTTGACTCATGTTTGCGTGTATTTGAGAGTTTAGACGCACCTTAAGTCTTCTGTTCCGTGTCTGAGCGCACGCACAGAAATCCTCCTGAGGAGCAGAGATAGTTCTCTTTCACGCTTTTAAAACATGAATAAATCTAATCAACTTTAATAACTCAAGCACGTGCCATTTTGCGAAAGTCGCATTATGATTTTACAGATTGGCACGTGAAATCGGGCTTTTATGGAGGAGTGAAAGCGCACCGCTGGAAAGAGGGCAGAATGGGGCGCAATAATCGTTTTATCTCGATTACTGTATTTTCATAATCGTTGGAGGCCGAAATCGAAACTGTATTTCGATTGATTGCACACATTGCACTCTGACACACAAATCATGGTTAATTTTTTATGATTGATATTTTGATTATGATTGTCCTTTTTTTTGTGTTTAATATTCTTCACTTCTGAAAATAATTGTTACACTGAGGTGAAAGTGCATCAAATCATTTTTAGTGGACAGTTTAATTATCATTCACTCATCAAAGCTTTTGCTCGTACAGTATTCGGTCTTTGTATCCCATGTGCGTTCAGTGTTATGTTCATATTATATATATGCTAATATTTATTATCATTTTGAATAGGCTTTTATTTTTATGTTAATTTATGATTTAGAATTTTAATGCCATGCTTTTAATATTTGTATTACATAGTTTTAAGGTATTTTTATGTCAGTTTTAGTAGGCAAGACAACATTTCTGATTTTCCATTTTTTAAAGTTGAAGTTTTTCATTTAATATTTATTTCAGCTTTATTTGAATTAATGTAAAATGTCTTTGTTGCTGTGACGGTGACTGTGGAAACAGTAAAACAAACAATGTGAATGAATGAAGAATCAAAGACTAACAAACAGTGTGAATATGAGGAGGAAACATGCATGAATAATTACACACAGGACACGTGTGTGTGTGTGTATGTGTGTGTGTGTGTGTGTGTAGGTGGCAGGTGTTGGTGGTAATAAGGTGAAAGATGATCTGGTGGTGGCCGAGGTGGAGATTAACGACGTTCCTCTCACCTGTCGGAATCTGCTGACCCGCGGACAGACTCAAGACGAGGTCAGACCCGTGAGTGTGTGTG